TTCTTGAAGTATCGTTGTCTCTGAATGAATTACAAAACAAGTTCTTCAGCGATCACTGAACAAGCTCAGTGTATGATCGCTGGAACTGAAATTACAGATACAGAAATACATCGAAAAGAAAAAGGGATTATCATCAAATCACTGAGAGAGAGGATCAACATTTCTGTCTATATGAATAACATCTCATTTGGATAAATGATTGATTTTATACGAATTTTCAAACTTACTGAATTGAATCTACCACTTCCAACAACACCAAAGTTAAAGAAATTCCAGCTCAAATCATCAATCTTCCACCTTTGTTCATGAATACACTAAGAGTTTAACCCATTTTCCCCAAAAAAGAAGAAATCATAAAAATCAAACCATAAACATACCTTATTTTGACCCCTAGTTCCAATTATAACATATAATCTTCAAAAATCTTGGAATTTTATAAGAGATGTTTAGAGATGAGGTATAGGGTTTCTAGAGAGAATGAGGAGAAATCATATGAATCTTTGAGAGAAAATCTGATTTTGGTTTTTAAAAAATTAATAATTTCATATTTATATTTATAATATTTACCATTTAACCCTTGATCTTAAACTTGAACAACTCTTGAAGACTAAAATACAAGTCAACAAAGTACGATTTCAAAAATTGAACATAACTGGGCTTTTGCCTACAAGATTAGATTTTTTAGATACGGGGTATTATATAAAACCTTATCGCGGGTAACGCAAATTGACTCCTTATGTGATTACTAAGAGAAGTTTGAGAGGTTGGGAAGTCGGGTTCATGACATGACGTTGAAGGTAGAAGTAGAGAGATTCGTGGGATGCCTCGAGTCAAAAATAACTGATGACATTCGAATGTTTAAACTGAAACTGTTGAAGAAAGCTATCATCCTTGTACAGATGAAGAATGAACAACTAGCACGTCAACAAAGACTCACTAGGCCATTCAACTGACCCACTTTTAATGCTTCCTCACCAACAGAATCCAAATAAGCTTCGTCTATAAAGAGGCTTCCCTAAGATAAGATGCAAAAACAACAAAACCTAAGACCTCGTTTTAATTGCAATGAGAAGTTACTCTAGGCCATAAATGTCAAGGACCGCAACTAATGCTACTTGAAAGTGTCACCGAGTAGGGCACTAGAGACCCAAATGACTCGATGAGGAAAATGAAGAGAACCTTGTGAAAAAAATTGATGCATTAACTAGATCATCAGGACAATGTTCCTTTCGCTTATTAGTTGTTGCCACTCCTCATGATCAAATGATTAACTTAGGTGCGTCGGCTGTTCCGTATGCTTACAGTTAACAAAAAGAATGTGATGTTTATTTTGTATTTAAACTATGCCAATTGACAACAACAGAAAATAAATTCTTACGGTCTATTTGGTTTGCTGGATTTGGTATGATTCGAAGGGATTTGAAATTGAATACCATTCTAACCCTACATTTGGTTTAAAGGAAAGTTTAGAATTGAAAATCCTATTGGATAGTTGATATTTCATAGGTTTTATTTTATTAATATTTTAAAATATAAAAAATTCGTTTTGTAACATGATATCAATTAATAAAAATGTAGTTTAATTATTTATATTTTATTTTTATAAATTATCTATAAAAAATTGAGTATAATAACATTATGAATACTAAAAATCAAACAAATCAAAATTTCCAAATCTTTCTTATTTTAAACCCTAAGGGGGTATTTGGTTCGTAGAATGATTTATGAAGGAATGTAATCTGTCAAAGAAATTGGAATCTAAAAGGAATTGGAATGAAATATTATCAGGTTTGACCAAGTGTTTGGTGGACATGAATCAAATGTAATTTGTCTAATGAATTGGAATATGCCTATTTACTTTGCAACAAAATTGTAATGAAATTATGAAAAAGGACAAAATACCCTTTCTTTGATATTTTTTTTAAAAAATATTTTTTTTAATTACAAAAAATCCTTCTCCTTTCATTTAACAACTCACACCCAATGCATTAAAACCCTTCTCCTTTAACAGCTCACACACCAATCTCATAAATCTGTTTATGTATTTCTTCTTTTTCTCTGTGTTTTTGTTTCATCGGCGACCCAAATCTGTCCAAAAATACTGCTCGACTCCGTCCAAAAATACCCACTTCTGCCTCCGTCCAAAAATACTGTTCGTATCTCGATTCACATATACTGCTCGCCTCCTCGTCTCGTCTCACCCTCTGTTCAGATCTAAATCAATCAAAAAGAATCCAAAAGGTTAAAAGTTTTGATTGAGACCTATTAATTCCCTAAAAGAATAAAAATAAAAATAAAAATAAAAATACGTTTTTAATCTATATTATATTATAAAGCATTTGACAAAATTTTTTAAAAACTACTTTTTATGCATAAAGTACTGTTTATTAATGCATGTTACTTAAAAGTCAAGATTACAAGTAGATTGTGCGTAAGTACAACTTATTAAAACTCTATATATGAACTCGTGTAACTAACTGCAGATAAACATAATCAAATAAAGGATAAACATCTCATTTTAAATATAAACAAATTAAAATATAATTAAGATAATTATTAAATTCTAACATAATAATTAATTATTATCTTTATAAAATATTATATTATTAAACTAAAAATAAATTATTTTATTATTAAATTTAAATTAAATTATAATTAAAAAATAAACTAAAAAAATTACATAAAAATAAAAACTTTTAAATAATTGATTTGAYATTAATATTGTTATATATTTTTTATAAATTTTATAAATTTATATTTTTTCAAAAAATAAAATTATTATTATTTTTTTAAAAACATATAAAATTATATTATAATATTAATAAAGATAAAAAAATAAAAAAAATATTAAAATCAAGATGTGTGTAATTGTATTGTCCAACTACCTCTTGTTTTGAAAAGAAAATTGATTTAGTGTTTAATATGTTTAGAGCCTGCCTGCTGGCTGATCCAACCAAGCGGAGGCGATCTTAAACCCTTTCTACCGCCTAAAACCCTGATGGCCATAGACAGGAATCTGATCGAAGAAGAAGGATGCCTCCACCGTTTCTACAAAATTGTTCTTGGCTGGGACTATCTACGTCTTCTCAAAGAATCCTCCGTAACTGCTCTCTCTTTTTCCGATCAAATCTAATTTCGTAGCATCAATATTTCTGTTAACTCATTCATGTTTTCTTTTTTATTCCATTTGAGCAGAAAAAGAGCAAAAATACTGTGAATGAAAAGAATTTGGGGTTGAAACACGTAAAGGACACGTATAAAGATGTAGATGATTACCTTGGCACATTTGAGCCACTCTTATTTGAAGAAGTTAAAGCTCAGATCGTACAAGGCAAAAATGAGGAAGAAGGTATGTGTGATGTTATTGTAGTTATAATCCCAGCATCACGATAACATCAAAACTAGTTTGCTTTTGGGCTGAAACTGCTTGTTGCTGTTCCAACATTTGACTTCGGATCTTAATCCCGATCGTTTTTCGTTTCAAATTTGATGTACAAGTTTAATTTTTTGTTGAGAAAAAGAAAAAAGCTAACCACATTCTACTTTACGATGTTGTTGCTGGAAATTCGCATTTCCATTTTGCATCTGGAAAGAACTAAAGGAAGAGATGTAAGTCACATAAAATGCATAAAGGATGAGAAATCAAGATTGGTGTCTGGTGGTGGAGGGATTATCTTGATGGTTGTTCGATGGAAATAGTGAGCAGATATTTCATGATCCTCTTATGATGTTAATAGAAGGCTTGTATTTAGGTGAAACAAGCCCTAAGAAAGTTGAAAGTTGAAAGCAGGTAAAGCTTCAGGGCTTGGTGATTTTTCTTTCAAGGCTTCGAGAGACGTTAGGAGGCATGGGTGGTATGATTCATTGGGTTTTCAATGTCATCCTTAAGATAAAGAAAATGATTGATGAATGGAGGAAGAGTACTTGGGTCATTCTACAAAAAGTGAAGGAAATATTCAGAACCATATAAATTATATAGTGACAACGCTTAAGAATCATATGATGGAACAAGGGGAGTGAGTTGATCACAAGAGGTGACTAAGGTGTAGGAAATCAATTTGGTGACTAAGGGTAGCCTTTAGACCAACCATGTTGTACGGGTTGGAGTGTTGGGTGTGAAGGCCAATGATAGGGAGTTGGAAGTTGCAGTAGTTAGGATGGTTTAGATGGACATGCGGTCAAACATTCTTAGACATTGTACCGAACGTGTAGGTAGAGGGCTGGTGTGTGCGTTTTCCTACTTTGCGCGTCTTTGTGTGCGTTTTGTCCTTTTCTTCTTTTGCATTGCTTACTTTGTGCTAGTCTTGGCTATTCTTCTTGCCCTTGTCTTTGCTTTTTGCTCACACTTTTGCACAAGCGGGGAGGTCTTCTCGGAAACGACCACTCTATCCTTTCGGGGCAGAGGTCAGGTTTGTGTGCTTCTCTCCCCTCCCAAACCCTGCTTTTGAGCGGAATATACTTGGTTTGCTTGGTTATCAAAAAGATTAACAAGTAAAGCCATTTTCTTGATTAGATGACTTATGGAGAGATATGACGCTAGAACAAGGATTTGCATATTCTGTTCATCTAGCATATCATATGATGCCAAAAGAAGTAATGTGGTGGGTTCTTGAGAAGAAGAAAGCTCTCTGGATGTTTGAGCATGTGATTGAAGATATGTATATTTGTGGAGTAATGGATGAGCATATGGAAGACATATGTATGCTTTGCATGGATGATATAGTGTTGATAGATGAGAATAGGCAGTGGGCTAATGCAAAGTTGGAAGTTTGGAGGAACACTTTGAAATCTAAAGGTTATAGATTAAGCATGAATAAAGCTGGGCATATGAAGGGAAATTTTAGCAGTGTTACCAGGGAAACTGAAGATGTGAAAATGGTATCCTGACAAGACGATATCTTTCATTATTTAGGATCAACTTTACAGAAATATAGAAAGGCTAGGGAGTAGCGAGGATGTTAGTCTTATGTAATAACTAGCATGGTGATTTAAATGTTGACAAGGAACGGAAATCTTACATAGTCGAAAAGTTCCATTGAATTTTTTCAAGGTAAGTCATACATGACATGGTAGTACCAACTATTATTTATCATGGCATAGAATGTTGTGCCACCAAAAGACATGTACACTAGATCCGGTAGCAAAAAATACAAATCTTAGGTGGATGTATGGTCACACAACAAGGGATATAATTATAAATGATACTATAAGGGATAAAGCTAGGGTGACACCAGTTGAAGAGATGCTGCGGGAACACTGTTTGTGGTGGCTTGGTCATCTCCAGCATAGATCTCTGAGTGTTTGAGCGCATCATATGGAAAAGGATATGTGTACCAGAAGGAGGTTGTTAGGAGAGTTAAAGATTTGGCAAATTGACACTGGGGGCAGTAGTAAAGAGATGTTAGCTAGACTGAAGTATGGGATTTGGCCTTAGACATGAGTGCATGGAAGGATGAGATTTACTTCATGCATCTGGGGTTATTCTGCCTCTTATGTTTTTGTCTGGTTTCATCGTTTGGTAATTTCTCTTGGTCTTTTTTATGGCCAACCCGACTAGTTTGGGATAACAGCATAGCTGGATTTTTGTTTGATTGTTCTTCATACCTGTATGTATCGTCCAAATAATGAATTTTTTCGGCCCATGGTAGTGACTCTTGTTTGTATGTGTATCTTTTTGAGTTTCTCTTAAAACCTGGAATCAACTCCTGTCTAATCTCAAATTGCTTGTGTCAAGTTGCAATTTGTTCACTTGTTATTAATATAAAATCAGATTTAAGTAACTCCACATAGAAGTTTGGTGATTATATGTGTATTTTTGTTTTTGCTGTGAAACCTATAATTTGCTTCCAATCATCGATAAGCCGATTGTTGTTTTGCTTTAATATGTATTAGTAGTATCTTCAAATAGCAGCATGCATTTACAACTTCGATATGCTTATATGTTTTTTTTTTTTTGTCTTCCTGTTTTAAAGAAACGGAGTGGAAGATGGGTATGGTAATACAATGTCATGAAACCGATGGGTTTCATTTACCAGAGATATTTGGTGAAGACTGGGGATCTGTATCACAGAACGACTTGTTGCTGCTCACGAAAAAGAAGGTAAGCATTAAAATTGAGTTGATCTTGTACTTCGTGAAGTGAATAGATGTAATTATATATCTAAATAACTCCATTTCAGCCCCTTCCATCTCTTGTTTCCCTGTAGTTATTGCAAGATATCCGTTCATGGATGTATGCTTTTATTTAGTCCCAACCAGCACTGTTGCATATATGCTGAAACATACACATATACTTGAACTACGTCTGAATCAGATATGTTAAGATCAGCAAATGTTTTTATTTCATTTTGCAGTTTGGAGATGATAACGAACTTCCCACCACATATGCATTTGCATTGGTTGAGCATCGTCTACCAGATAAGATAAGACTCAGAATGCAATTAGATGGAGAAATAAAGAGAGTAGATACAGATGAGTCCAGTTCTTCCAAAAGGCTGTTGAAAATGCGGTCTCTTATTGTCGAACAAAACAAAACTTGGAGCATAATGAAGGTATTTGTATTCATCTTTTATGATCTTCTAAAATGTAGGCATTATTTCCTGTTTTGCGCGTCTCTAGATCTCATTAAAGACCCCTTGTAAGTCTTCGTTTTTTGTTCCTCACTCTTATATTTTCAGATGTACCATTTCATATACTTTCGTGAACTTTGATATGCTGATTAATCATATGTGTGTGTGAGGATGGTTTAGTAATAATGGCACTTTAGTTGCTATATCTCCAAACTAAGTGATTTGCTAATGCCACACAAAGGAATGGTGATTCATTTTGGGATTAAACAATACATATATTAGTAAATAAACGCCATTGTGTTTCCCTTAAAGCAATATAGAATAGGACTCTGAGATGGTGAAAGAACTTTTATCAGAATGAAAAGGTTTTCATCATTAAAACTGATAACGGAATTCAATAATAAATTATGAGACCCATATATAGTGCAAGGTGCAAACTGAGTTGCATACTCATGCTTAACAAATAACAACTCAAGTTTATGTGATCACATGTAATTCTTTAGTTAGGAATAATGACATCAAGAAAGGAGTTGAACCAGCATATTTTCTACTTCTGAAAGAAAGAATGCACAAAAAGAACAAAAAGAAGATAGAATTGTCTTCGTCATTCTTACATACTCAAACACATTATTGTGGTTATCTTACGAGAAAAGAGCCACCTATGTGCATTAAGGCTGATCTGCTTTGTGAGGGGTCGGGGAGGGATGTCTTTGTATGTAGCCTTCCCCTTGCAGTTTGCTGTAAAGCTGTTTCCATGGCTTGAATCTGTGATGGAAGCTCACAAATGAGTAACCTTCCTCTGTTTCTTGCCCTTTGTAGTTGTGTTTATGATTGGTGAATAAATCTTTTTTGGTTTAATTAGGCTTGTCCTTCGTCTTAGCACTAGTTTTTGACAACTATTTATCTCAGCATGCTCCTGGTCATCATTCTCCCAACTGACTGATGTTATCATCGTCATATGGTTGGTGATGCATTGCCAGTTTAAGTTTTACATTTTTATGCTTGTTTATTGCAAGCAGAATCATCATTATTATCGTGTACATTGTGTAGCAGTTACCAACAGTATCTTATGACCAAATTGCTTGAACCCATTTGTTTAAGTTGCATAGCTCTTTCCTTCTGGAATTATATATATATGAAAAATGGGCATATTAGTTTCTCGTTAATAGGCATATTTTGCCAAGTGCAGATTTGCAGTTTATCAACCATAGCACGTGAGTATGTAGCTCTGCGTTCAATTAGCAGCTTGCCATACAAGGATTTGATTTTAACAGCCGCTGATAGCATTCAGAATTCTGAAGATCAGGCGTGGAAAATTTCTAAGCCTCTTATGGAATTTATCCAAACTAACCACAACACAACACAGCTGGAAGCTATACGTGTGAGTATTCAGCAGTTTCTAACCCCTGCACCCTGAAATATTGGTCTAGCTACCTACCTACTTACCATGAATTGGATGGTAAGTAGATGCTAGACGATCCTCATATAACCTTAATTGTACATTTGCTCCTCTGAGACATGATTTCTTTCCATTTTATTGATTGTAGAATGCTAACATCATCTTTGCACATGAGTATACAATAACTCCCATCTATATGTTTATTTTCTGCAGGCAGGTCTTTCACGCAGAAAGTTTGTCCTGATTCAGGTTTTCCTTGATTTTGTGGTTCCTTTTCTTGAACTTACTTTCACCTGAAACAAACAAACAATACCTTTGCCATGAAGTCCATTGCCCAGTGGTGGGGAGGAGGATATACATCTATTATTGACTATGTTTAGATAAGCAATCCTGTTTCCATATCTTTAATTGATAATTGGTTGGAGCAAACTTGTTTCTTTGTTATTTTAATGGAAAACTCACGGGCTAAATAGGATCTGCAGTAGTAAGTCTATAATTAACGAACAATTAGTGGAGATGAATATGTTAACTATTATCATATGCTCTTTTAGGGTCCGCCAGGAACAGGAAAAACACAAACAATTCTTGGGCTTCTTAGTGCCATACTGCACGCAACTCCCGCACGCATACATGCTAAGTGAGTATCTTGCAAGCTTGTTAGTATCTTCATAAGCATTTGCTTCAGTGTATGAATGGTATATATCATTAGCTTCCTTTATTCCTAATGTCTTTTTGCAGGGGCAAAATAAATGAAATAAAACGTGGGCCAGATTTACACATCCAAGACAAGTATGTTTGTCCTCCAGTTTTTTGATTTATTCATTCTTTTGGCTTCTCTTGCACTTGAGTATCTCTTGTTTATTATATAAAGGCACTGAAGGCACCTTTTTCCCTTGTCATGTTTTATCATGCATTTACGTTTGTGTTCATGCCATAACCATTTATGGGAATTAGTAGTAGAAGGATTGAAATTAAGGGGGTGATAAACCTGGAGATAGGGATATATATATATATATATATATATATAGAGAGAGAGAGAGAGAGAGCCTGGATGGATGGAATTGAATAAACTTCTCATTAAAACCTTATATAGGCTCTGCATCTACTCTACAGGCAATGCAAAGCGTTCAAATTAGTTCAGAAATTATCTTCGATTCAAGTCTGAGGATCCATCAAACAGCATAAACATTTTTGGATCCTGAAAAGTTGACATGCTATTAGAGCCTTTAGTTAGAACTTGGTGAAGAACCCAATGCGTTTGTGCTTTAATCTTTTTCTGGCCTTATTAAGATAATGCCTTTTGCTCCCAAAGCTTCAGCAATGATTAAACATCATACCACCTTTGCGTTTAACAGTCTCTTGTCCTGGTTGAACCCCAAAAATGAATCTTGCCATTCTGATCTTTGTTATGCTTTGACAATCTATTCAGACCAGATCAAGCCTCCCTCGCTTTAGACCAACATAACCGACTCTCCACCACCCTTAATGTTGAAGTCTGACAATTATCCATGACCCTCCTAGGGATTCAATCCCCACTTCCTTCGAGCCCGTCAGGTTGTGTTTACTGAGCCAAGTTTCACCTCCATTTAAGCTGGGAGAATATGGTTGAGATGCCACCATTCTTCATAATCCTTCAATAACTTGATATAAAAGTGTTTCACCTAATTGATAGTAAGCGTGATACAGGTCTGTGTAACTGGGCAACAGTGTGCATATGGGGTAGTATGGATGTGTAAGCTAGGTGGATATTGTGAAATCAACCCCTAGGGCATGCTCTGGGCAGAAAAAAAAAACTGTGTATTTCCATCAGCAAGTCTGTATGGTCTTTCATTTTATAAAATAATCTGATATGCATATATAGAAAATATATAAGACAGAGGGCAGGATCTGATTACGGGAGTTGGTTAGTGACTGATTCTTTGATTGATCCTTGGTTATTCTGGCATATTTTTTTATTTATTAAACCATTCATTTTGGATTTTTGTAGAAACAATCACTGGGGAAAAGCTTCTCCATGGTTATATGGCATTAATCCTAGAGATGCAAAGATGCCTAAAGATGGTGATGATGGTTTTTTTCCCACTACTGGTAGTGAGCTGGTAAGTTCTGTTTCTTTCCTTTTATATTCATCTTGGTGGTCCACATATATTAGCTTCTTATGTTTACACAGAAACCAGAAGTCGTTAATTCTAGTCGCAAATATCGCGTCCGTGTTCTGGTGTGTGCTCCATCAAACTCCGCACTTGACGAGATTGTGTTGCGGCTTTTAAGCACTGGTATTTGCCAAATCTATCCAATTTTTTGTGTTTTAGATGGTTTTTACATCCTTTCTGTGGAGTGCCAAGTGTTACCTCTCTCTCACACAACAACAAAACATCTACATATATACCAAGTGGAACTTAGGTTTAAGTTTTAAATACACAATCACTAGTTTTTGATGATATTTTTTGAACAGACACCACATGTTCATAGTTAAGTGCTCAATTTGCGGAAAGTCTTTGTTACTGTTGCTTTCAAGTAGAAGTCTAAGTCAATACTCATTGTTGTTTATAATTAAATGATCTTCAGCTAATTCATACTAGCATAGACTTTTGCAGGGCTCCATTTTGATACTCAATGTTTACGTTCTGTTTCTTCTTTAGCTCCTTAGTTACATATTTAGAGGATGAGTTGTTTTTTATCATCTTCAGGCATTCGAGATGAAAATGACCGAGCATACACTCCTAAAATTGTTCGGATTGGCCTCAAGGCACATCATTCTGTCCAAGCTGTTTCTATGGATTACCTAGTATGTACCTGGAAATCTTCGATACTATTTCTACTTAAATTATTTCTATTGAGCCTACTAGTGATAAAAGGATGTGGGCATTCTTGCAATGGAGCAGCCGCTGAAGTTCTTTAAAATATAAAATGAATGTTAAAATGGGAATTTTTCAGGTGGAACAAAAACTTGCAGGCATGGATTTCCAAACTGCTGATAAACAGAAGCATGGAGGTGGTGCTAGGGACAGAGATACAATCCGTGCTTCAATCATGGATGAATCGGCAATTGTATGCATTTTTAGCTTTATGGTGAGATCCAAAGTATCATATGTAACTCATGATTTTTTGTTTTTTGCAGGTGTTCTCCACTCTTAGTTTCAGTGGTTCAAGTCTTTTTACTAAACTTGGTCGCAATTTTGACATCGTGGTGATAGATGAAGCTGCTCAAGCAGTAAGTTCCTCTGGACATTATTGCACTGTAATATGCTTTTTGAAGATCAACTTTACAAATAATATAATTATTGAGACTTTAAAATGATCAGTTGTTACATTGACGTTTCCTGTTCTTGTAAGACGTTCATGATCAAGAGCCTTCATCTGAGCTTCAAAATTTTCTACAGGTGGAACCTGCAACACTTGTCCCTTTGGCCAGTGGATGCAAACAAGTGTTCTTGGTATGTACATCATGCTTCTTTTTCCATTTAGTTCATTTTAATTGGTACCATTGTCTTATGAATTTAATAAAGACGAACTACTTATTTTTGTGGCTAAGAATATAGATGAAAAAAAGTAAATAAAAGAAACAATGTTAAGTGAAGCCCGTGTATTAATCATCTTCTGGACCTCTACTACTTTTGTGTTTTGGCATTTGATTGAAGTGACCTCTGGTTCTAACATGCATCATTTTTTGTATTTAGTTTTACAAGGAGAAGTTTGACCTCCCAATATTAAACCTAGTATTTGCCAAGTAAAAATCTACACAAATTGTTATACATTTTTCAAGTGATTCAGATTTCTATTTTCATAAGAGTAAATTTATTAGACTTCTAGAGTTCCTGCTCAAAACCTATCAATTATAACTATAAGTGGATGTGGCACAAGAGTTTGTCACGTAAGTTTACTTCCCAGACGTGGGATAACTAGTCTCAACAAAATGGAAAAGAATTCATGCTAGTTTGAAGTTCAATAGTAGTATGTTGGACTTTTCAACATTAACCTTTGCCTTGTAATAGTAGAGTTCAAAAAAAAAATAGTCTGTCTACTTCACGTATGGTGGGAGGGATGTGCTTTTGGGCCTCTGCTAAGAAATATATTTTTTGGCCACTATCCATTGTTCCGATGACACATTGCACACTCTTCTGGTTCAGAAGGAATCATGCTTGTTTGCTGTTAATGGTAACATGTAACAAGGGATTGGTATAGGGTTTCTTTAATCTATGTACATGCATGTAAACATTGTTTTCATTTTTTAAAGAATATTTGGCTCTTCCACCTCCTCTACTCACCCCTCCCCCCTCCCCCCTTTCCACCCTGTTCCTTTCTTATTCGCCATCCCACCTTGTAGACTGAAAGATAATACTTCCTCCATCCCAAAATAAATGTCCATAATGAGAGTTTTTAATTAACTAAATGACAATTTTAACCATAATAATAAAGGAGTAATGGATTTGTACATCTCATAATTAAGGGTAGAATTGGGAAGTAGCACTTAGTTTTAAAAGTGGACCCTTATTTTGGGACGGGGGAGTATTTTTATAGGTCTAACTCAGACTCATTGTTTGGGACCTAGGATCTTTTATCAACTTTGCCTTTCTGGCGTTTTTCTTTTTGGTTCATTAAAGTAAGGTATTTTTCTCATTAAGTAGCATTGCTACTGCATCTCCCTCAAAAGAAAGAAAGTGAAACCTCTATCTATATAATGATAATTTCCTAAATGAAGATAATCACAAGTTCAGCTGTTAATGGACGTTTACTTGGGGTACATGTGAATGAATATATGATTCTGAGAAGGGGGTGGAATTTTATTTAGGATGATGAAGATTCCCTTGCTAGTTTCTAGAACCTGTATGAATCTCTCCTCACCCCCCTTCCATCAGGCTGATGTCTAATGTCATTTTATATTTTCTAAAAAGTGTTTCTATTAATTTTATTTAAATGCGCTCTAGCCTTTTTTGTAGTTCACTGAAAAACATCAACCCTAAAATTGGGGTTTTGGGCCTATCTTATGTCGTTGAAACTAATGTTTCCATCAGTCATCATTAAGGTGCAAGATGGTCATAATTTATTCGACTGTATATAGTGCTAACAAAATTATCTTGTGTATACTAAAGGGGTCAAAAGCATCTTTTCGCCCTTCTTTTGGGGGAATTAACATTTATATTGGAATTGAGGTGGTCTTTTCCCAGCTTATTCTTTCCACACTCTGACACCCTCTTTATAGGTTGGTGATCCTGTTCAGTTGCCAGCAACTGTTATTTCTCCTGTTGCCGAGAAGTTTGGGTAAGAACTTAATGAGCTGTTTAAAAGGTCAGGTTCCAGATTCTGACATTCTTTATCTGTACAACAGTTACAGTATGAGCTTGTTTAAAAGGTTTCAAAAGGCTGGATATCCCGTACAGATGCTGAAGACACAATACAGGATGCATCCCGAGGTCCGTTTTTAGTATCCTCAAAATGATTCAGTGTTCTTAAAACCTATAAACATACATTCAACTAGTACTAGTGCAACTACTAATTGCAGCCAGCTTATTTCCCACAGATTAGAAGCTTCCCTTCGAAAGAATTCTACAATGGAGAATTGGAAGATGGAGCGGATATTAGAGACAGGACAAAGCGTTTGTGGCATAAATACCGTTGTTTTGGACCTTTTTGTTTTTTTGATATACATGAAGGGCAAGAAACACAACCTTCAGGGAGCGGATCATGGGAAAATGTTGATGAGGTTGACTTTAGCTTGCTAATGTATCATAAATTAGTCAGTAGTTATCCAGAGCTGAAGTCAAGTTCTCGGCTTGCAATTATATCCCCGTACAGACATCAAGTGAAGCTCTTTCGTAGTAGGTTTAAGGAGACATTTGGGATAGATTCAGAGAAAGTTGTGGACATCAACACCGTGGATGGTTTCCAGGTTAGAAATTTCATCTCCTTGAATTCACACACATTCTGCTGTTTGAAACTCCACGTAGATTTTCAGCAACAGTAATCTTGTTTTTTCCTTCTTAAATGCAGGGCCGAGAAAAGGATGTTGCAATATTTTCATGTGTTAGGGCAAGCAAAGAGAGAGGCATTGGATTTGTTGCTGATTTTCGGCGAATGAATGTTGGTATAACCAGAGCAAGGGCTTCTGTGCTGGTATGGTTTGTCATTGATGGTTATGATTTCTACGGTCTAATCTCATTAATATTATCTCTTGCTTTCTGTCGACAAACTGATGTCTTGGTTATATGCTAGGTGGTTGGTGCAGCTGATGCACTGAGAAAAGATGAGCACTGGAAAAACCTGATTGAAAGTGCAGAGGAGAGAAATTTTCTATTCAAGGTATGTTCTCTAATTGTTCAGTTGACCAGCAGCTAGCATATTCATAAACCCACCCGGAAGTAGGGTCTGGGGTGGATAGGATGACTTAGACCTTATGTCTACGTCTAAAGGTAGGGAGGTTGTTTTCGTGAAGACCCCTGGTTTGAGGAAAGAAACGTAAATCCTGAAAGGAAAATTTGAAGCTTTAGAAGATTCTAACATGATTGTAAGGAGCTTTAGGTAGTGGAAATTTGGTAGGCAGATGGGACTGGACTGGATGGTGGAGGAAGGTTTAAGGGTTTTAATTTGACATGAGTAGTTTAATAATTTATCCATTCTGTTTCATCTTTTTGATTTTTGTTCCATCTATTTTTTGTTTTTTCTGACAGTCCCTTCGTGTCCCAGTCTAATATCGCATCAGACATGGGACAAGTTTTTGTTCTGTCTTTTCTAACGTACCAAATGCAAAAAAAGGTGCAAAAATCAAGAAATTAGAGTGTAAAGGGTAAAAAATGCAAATCACAGTGAAGCAAGATGTTGTGAAAAAAAAAAATTTCAAAAACAGGCACAAAAGGGAATTCCTCACTACCGGCAAAGAATCCCCAATGTAGCCATCTTAGGGCACAAGAGAGCTTCCTAGGTATCAGGGAAAAATCCTGATCAATAGACACAAAAGGAAACTGAATCAACTATTTCTGCAATCCCTATCTCAAGCTGTTGTGAATTTCTTCTTTCAGGTTTCTAAGCCCTACACTGAATTCTTCAGTGACAATAGCCTCACATCCATGATGGCAGAGGAGGCCATGCCAGAGGGATTGGGCCCAGATGACATGGACACTGATGCACTGGGTTATGATCTTGCCGTTGATGCTGATCAAGCTCCAGTCGACGATGATTATGGAGATGATGTTGGCGGAGGAGACGATGGAGGCATGGATGACTAAAAGCTAAAAAAATTATTGGGTGCATGATTCGGTTCAATCAATTATACATAACCCATCATGCTATAAGTTCTCAGTTTACATCAAATAGTACTAGAAATTCATGTATCTTGGTAGCAGTCTGGAAAAGAAAAAAAAGAAGACTGAAAATATGTAGGGAAATAGGAAAATTATTGTACAATGATGTTGGTATCCAAGTGAAGATTACTATATAATTCTAGGTTTAGCCAACTGTAAATTCTTGCTGAAGTTTGTCTTATTTTTGTTCTAGAGATATTTGGTTGTGCTTGTTAACTACAAATAACACAAATGTCTAAAATGTAATGTGTACATGTAGAAATAAAACTCTACTTGTTCTTATTCAGTGTTGCAACAAAATGATTTTACTTCAACAAGATGTGGTTGATCATCATTCTTGTTTGAATGAGCGCAGTTCCTACCATTAACATCCATTTAAACTCTACTTGCAATGTTGTAAAGGATTAAATTTCTTTTTGTAGTTGTGGATTTGATTAAAAAGTTGAATTCCTAAGAATGTGGTTTGCTAGTGATAGTATTGGTTGTTAAAATCAAACTTTAAACCTATCACAGGCCAAATAAAGGCAAGTTCCCAGAGTCTTATTCCCATATGATATGAGTTAGGCATTGGGATTTTCTTTTAAGCCTATGAGATTGGTTGAGATGCATGAAAGCTGATTAGATACTAAAGTTATAAAAAGAACCATCTGTAAGCTTCAAAAGAAGTATTCAGAAAAATTATATTTGAAGTCTATAAGTAAGATACACTGGATTTGATATTTACTTGCTAATAATGGTAAGATACTACATCTACATGATGTCTTTGGACTATTTTTGTGCCTAAAACACTAGGCAGTAGGCACTAAACATTTCAACATGGTCTTCTATTACGTAAGGGGGACCTTCGGCGGGATAAAAGAGAGTGCGGGAAAAGCAGCTACAGATACAGGACAAAAGAAGGAGTGGCGCACTTAAAGAGTAAAACAGTCCATCGTAGCGCAAAAGAGCATCCCGCAGAAAGAGGATCCCGCGGAAAGTTTCCACTTTTCTGTCCAGCTGAAAAATGGAATGGAATAGTCTAAGATGCTTAATAGCTTCAACAAGTGCGAAAGCCGTTGCTTCTTGCTTTCGAGCCTAAGCCTACGTATGCTTAGTAAAGTTGCTTCTTTTTTTATCTCAAAAAAATAAAGGCGAAAGGTTGCTTGCTTTACTTTGAGAAAGAAGTAGAAAGAAGGTATTATATAATAAAAAAAAGTAAAGGCGCGTTAGTGCTTTTTTTTTCCAATAAGGGGCGGAGCTTGAAGAAGCGAGCCTATCAGAGAAAAAATGCCCTCTTGTAAAACTTTATTCAAACAACATGGTTGTTTTGTGTTTCTCAAACATGGGTATTAAAGATCATAACACAATCAAAGTTCATTTGGCCTAGCGGTATGTGAGTCATTGACCTCCTAGAAGGTCAAGGGTTCAAACCTCACCAAAAGTGAGGAGGGTGTGTGAGTTTATTTATTCTATTTACCGAATATTAATATTATATACTTAAAAAAAAATCATAACCCATACAAAAAAAATGTCTTCAGTATTTCTACATACAAATACAGACCGCAAAAGTTTCAGGCCCTTGAGAATCAGCAGATGTTTTTGGATGCTAATTGAAGATTTAAAACCCATATACAACAACATATGCAATGATAATCACAACAAAAACGAAGATGTATTTTTATTGAAGAATGATTTGTATGATTCAAAACAAGTATTCAACTAACAAAAAATATGAACATATACCATGGTAAGATTTTTAGCCTATTTCTGTGCACATACCATCGTAGATGCGATATAGAGCTTTCGGGCATGGATTGCAGCATTCAGCCCATCACCACCGTTAGCCAACGAGCAGTCTACGGTTTTTTCATCCACAGGAGGAAATTGCTGTAGATCATTACTGGTCGGTTCCGTTGCCGGTGAAAGGCTGTACGTCCTATCAGAAGCCAATTCCAACAGCTTTGCTTTTGGCATGTGTTCTTCCCTCGAATGAACAAAAAAGGTGGAATAAGTCGGTGGTAGATTAGGGCTCGGAGCTAAATGCATAGCAATTCCCTGCACCGTCGGGGATATGTCGGTGTCAGACATGGTTGATGTAGTTGGTACTGTCCCGGAGTATGTAGCCGTCCGATTTTGGGTTAGATTGGAAGATGGAGGAGATTGCATGGCTACCGGAACTTTAACTGTGTTGTTTCCCGTTGAATTAGAAGCCCGAGGAGGCAGTATGGCAACCGGAATTTGAACCGTGTTGTTTGTTGAATTAGAAACCAGAGGAGGCGGAGACTTCTGCATTGAGTTGGGAGATAGAAGCGGTGGTATGTCGGCGTTAGGATACACATTCATCGAGGTTTGATTATTTGGTAAGTCCATGATCGGTGATTGTAAAGTCAGATTACCAGAGAGATTCGACAGCGATGCACCTGTTAAATTCGCCGGTGGATTAATCACATGAGGTCTGAACTCGAGAATACCTCCCAAGCCGTGTACGGCAATATCTCTACCGTAGAACATACCAGGAACCACCACATCAACGCCGCCAACTGTAATCAATGATCTCGGAGAGCGACGCTGCTCGATGACGATATCCTGACCGGGCACAAGCGTCGGAACAGAATTGGAACCAGGCTGAAGGCTCAAGAGTTCAGAGATGGACAGACGGCGGGGGACGACATGGTATCGGAGAGCCGAAACGTAATTGGACGCCGCCATGGTCATGTCAAGAGCAAACAGAGCCGAATTGATTGGTGCGAATAAGGTAAAGTTACCATTGGCTTTGATATCGTAGCGGATGTCAGAAGTGGCTATGGCGTTGGCAAAGAGATGGTAGCCTCTGGCTCTCAATACACCAAACACCACATTCAGTTCTCCTTCCCAGACGGCGCTCACGATGACGATGTTGATAATTGCGGTGATGATGATGATGATAACGATTGGGAGGATGACGACGGTTGAGATGTGGCCGGAAGTAGACGCCATTGTTGCCGGAGAAGAAAGAGAAGCACAGACCTGAATTGATTGATTTTGGCGGGATTTTCCCTTTCAGTTATAACTGAAACCAATCACGTTTCAAAGTCGGTTCGAATTACATGTTATTTACCAAACTTGCCATTGGCGAGAGGACCCAATAACATGGATAGTCCACCCGGTTTCAAAAATTAAATATATTTATGCTATATTATAAAGTATTTAACAAAAACTCTTAAAAACTATTATTTATGCATAAAATACTATTTATTAATGTATGTTACTTAAAAACTCAAGATTACAAGTAGATTGTGCGTAAATACAACTTATTAAAATTTCATGTCTGTCTATCTGAATTCGTGTAACTAACTGCAAATAAACATAATTTAATACATGATAAACATTTCATTTTAAATATAAAAAATCTAAAATATAATTAGGATAATCATTGAGTTCTAACATAATACTTAATTATTATATTTATAAAATGTTATATTATTAAA